CTAAAGTATCTTATAAGTAAATAAAGCAGGGGAAGAAGAGAGAGGGGATTGAATACCAATCTGGGCTGAAAGTCGTTAAGGCAGAGCTGCCGTGGGGAGGTGAAACATTCCCTGGATTTGGAGCATTAAATGGAAGCAGCAAAGGAAACAGAGCAGGGAACAGTTATTACCAAGTGCAGACAAGTTTTGGGATGTTCAAACACTAAATAGGTTTATCAGTCGTGGGAGCAAATGCCAGCAAAACCAGCCATTAAATCTTCCAGAAGGTTCCCATCCCGAAGCTCCCTGTGCTCTCCCTCAGCCTCGGGAGCTCAGAGCAGGATGTGGGGGCAGGAGGAGCTTCATTCCTGCACTTTGAGCATCCTGAGGTGTTATTTTATAATTGTTTGATGCCTGGCTCAATTTGCCCTGGATTTAAAGATGTGTTTTGGTGCTGGCTGGGAGGGTAAAGGCAATAGGGAGGTCATGGATATGGAATTATTCGGCTGAAATGGGAAAAAAAAAACCTGGAGAGCTTCTGTGTGAGGGTGGGAAAATGACTGGCAAATAGGAAATATTAGTGAATTTGATGGGTAATTTCTCTGCTATCCATTCCCTTGGGAAGCATTTAGGATAAGGTGGATTTGTTGTACAGTGAGGGCAGGTGGAGCCACTGTTGGGTTGTGTTGAAATGACAAACATGAGGCTGGAAACTCATGGAATCTTCTTCCAAATTTATCCTCTTTTTTATTTTGTATTTTTTATTCTATACCTGAGCTCAAAGAACAGTCAGGCTGTGATGAAATTCTCTGCTGACGCCAAACTGGGGGATGTTATTGATAGAAAGGGGTATGTGGTATCAAGGATTTGGGATTGGGTATGGAATTATCTTGGCTGAAATGGGAAAAGAACCTGGAAATCTTCTGTGTGAGGGTGGGAAAATGACTGGCAAATAGGAAATATTAGTGAATTTGATTGGTAATTTCTCTGCTATCCATTCCCTTGGGAAACTCTTAGTGAAGCAGGATAAGGTGGATTTGTTGTATAGTGAGGGCAGGTTGGGTTGTGTTGAAAGGACAAACACGAGGCTGGAAACTCATGGGATTTTCTTCCAAATTCATCCTCTTTTGTATTTTGTATGTTTTACTCTGTACTTGAGCTCAAAGAACAGTCAGGCTGTGATGAAATTCTCTGCTGACACCAAACTGGGGGATATTATTGACAGAAAAGTGTGTGTGGTGTTGAGGATTTGGGATTGGGTATGGAATTATCTTGGCTGAAATGGGAAAAGAGCCTGGAGAGCTTCTGTGTGAGGGTGGGAAAATGACTGGCAAATAGGAAATATTAGTGAATTTGATTGGTAATTTCTCTGATCTCCATTCCCTTGGGAAACTCTTAGTGAAGCAGGATAAGGTGGATTTGTTGTACAAGCGAGGGCAGGTTGGGTTGTGTTGAAAGGACAAACATGAGGCTGGAAACTCGTGGGATTTTCTTCCAAATTTATCCTCTTTTGTATTTTTTATGTTTTTCATTCTGTAGCTGAGCTCAAAGAACAGTCAGGCTGTGATGAAATTCTCTGCTGACACCAAATTGGGGGATATTATTGATAGGAAAAGGTGTTTGGTATTGAAAATTTAGGATTTCTGGGCTTTCATTTCCAGTTTGCTGTGGCTGTGCTGCAGTTCCTGCACCAGTTAAAATTCTGGCTTCAAAACTCCTGCAAAGCCACTGTGACATTTCATCCACGAGGAGGAAAAGCCCAGCTGGGCTCCATGGGGTTTTCCAATGGGAGTTTTCAAATATTCTTGTCTTCACTGATCATTTTTTTTGGATAATTTTGAATAGTGGACAATTGGATGCTGGATCTTGGATCATGACACAAGATAAAAGCTGATTATTGCCACGAGCTCCAAAGACAACTGGATGTTTGGAGCTTTGAGCAACGTTGTCTTAATCTGACAGCCTCCAAAATTCACTTTAATTTCCTGTCCTCTGTGTTTAGCTCAACTCTTGTCTGAGCAAGATATGGAGAGCACAGTCCATGTGCAAGTTGGTTCCTAATTTCCAGGAGCTGAGGGTGTGTGGTTACAGCTTCCATGATATAGGGAATTAAATATCCAGGAGTCTGAGTTAATTACACTTGTGATGGAGAGAACAACCAGTGGAGAACATGAGAATAAGATGCTCTTGGAGAGAGAATGGAGAGAAAGAAGAACTTCTGTGAAAAGAGCATGGCATGGACTCTCTGAGGGTTGTTCTCTCTCAGAGCTCACATAGGTTTCTCTATTTTTATATTTTATATCTTTAAAACAGCTCTTTAAATGTGGATACAAAGATTCCTGGGTCTTATTGGCACAGGGGGATTTCAGGATTTCTTCCTTCTCGTGGCTTATAAAGTGAGCTGAGTCTTTTAAAGAGCCACAACGTCCTGTCCCTCCCTGTTTTGCATCCCATTGTGCATTCCAGGGGTGTTCCCAGCTCTAAAATCTGTGCTGACAGGAGCTGAGTGCCAACATTATTCTGTCCAAGTTGCCCTTTTCCTCCTGCCATGATGAAGTTATCAGAAGGCAAATGAGAGGGGGAGGTTGGGTTTGTGCATACAATGGCTGTGGGTTATATTTTATTTAGTTTGCGTTTTGCTGGAATCAAAAGTCTGTCAGAGTTTGTAGCTGCAAATCTCAATGATTGAAAATGAGGTTTAATTCGAGTTATGGGAAAACAGCCCGTTCCAGTTATGGGAAAATGACCCATTCTGGGCTTACTGGAATGTCACAGCTGCCACCTGAAGGGATAAAAAAAGATGAATATGTGATTATATGTTTGTGATGATGTATTTGTTGGAGCCTGAAGGCAGTGCTGGGGTGAGGGGTGGGGGGTGTCTGTGCCACTCCATCGATCCATCTCCTGCCACTGCAGGATTTAGAGGATCACAGGATGTCCTGAGCTGGAAGGGACCCCCAGGGATAATCCAAGTCCAACCCCTGGCCCTGCCCAGGACACCCCAACAATCCCCCCCCTGTGCCCCAGAGGATCATCCAAACCCTCCTGGAGCTCTGGCAGCCTTGGGGCCGTGCCCACTGCCCTGGGCAGCCTGGGCAGTGCCAACCACCCTCTGGGGGGAAGAACTTCAGTTGCTCTTCAACTCAAATGACACTTGATAGAAATATTTGGATTCTCATTTGCTGTGGAGAGGAATCACAGAGAACATCCAACAGCACGGAGAAGTTGTGGCTACCCCATCCCTGGAAGTGTTTGAACAGGTTGGATGGGGCTTGGAGCAACCTGGGCTAGTGGAAGGTGTCCCTGCCCATGGCAGGGGGGGCAATGAGATGGGCTTGAAGGTCCCTTCCAACCCAAACCATTGTATGGTTCAGTGTCTGCTCCAGAATCAACTTCACAGAATCCCAGCATATGCTGAGCTGGAAGGGACCCCCAAGGCCCATCCAGTCCAAGCCCTGGCCCTGCCCAGGACACCCCAACAATCCCCCCCTGTCCTTCAGAGCGTTGTCCAAACCCTCCTGGAGCTCTGGCAGCCTTGGGGCCGTGCCCACAATTTCCACACTGAGCACAGAATCACCTCCTCAGCTGCCTGCAGGGTCTTTGTTCCTTCTGCACCTCATCTCAACCAAGCCAGAGAACCCCAGACTGGTTTGGGTTGGAAGGGACCTTCAAGACCATCTCACTCCCACCCCCTGCCATGGGGAGAGACACCTTCCACTAGCCCAGGTTGCTCCAAGCCCCATCCAAGCCAAGCCAAGGCTTTTGTGTGTTTTTCTGTAGTGAGCAGTGACAGGACCCAGGGATTGTCTGAAGTTGTGTCAGGAGAGGTTTAGGTTGGATCTCAGGGAAAGGATCTTTTCCAGAGGGTAGTTGGCACTGCCCAGGCTCCCCAGGGCAGTGGGCACGGCCCCAAGGCTGCCAGAGCTCCAGGAGGGTTTGGACAATGCCCTGAGGGACAGGGTGGGATTGTTGGGGTGTCCTGGGCAGGGTCGGGGGTTGGATTTTGATCCTTGTGAGTCCCCTCCAGCTCAGGCCGTTCCATGTTTCTGTGATTCTCACCTTTTCCCTTCCACTCTGTCCCATCTGTTGGAGCCTGTGGTTCCTCTGGGAGGTTTGGAGGGGCTGAGCCTCCTGGTCTCACAGGCAGGGACCTCTTCTGCCTCTCAAGCCAAGACATCAGTGTCCTGGAGTGCTCAGTGTTGAGAAGCAGGACATGTCCAAGTGGGTTCCTGGTTTCCAGCTGCTGAGGGAACGTGGTCTCAGCTTCTGTTCTGCAGGGAAATAAACAGCAGGTCTGAAGGTTATTGGTGTTTGTGATGGAGACACAACCAGTGGAGATGAGTCAGGAATAACGGGAGGATAAAATGCTCTTGGAGAGAGAGTGGTAAAGAAGAACTCCTGGAAGGAGCATGGAATGGAGTCTCTAAAGATAAGAATCCCAGAATCACCCAGGCTGGAAAAGACCTCTGGGATCATCCAGTCCAACCTGTGGCAGGCTGTTCAAGCCTGAAGAAGAGGAGGCTCAGGGGAGACCTCCTCACTCTCTGCAACTCCCTGCCAGGAGGGGGGAGCCGGGGGGGGTTGGTCTCTTTTCCCAGGCAACTCTCAGCAAGACAAGAGGGCTGGGTCTGCAGCTGGGCCAGGGGAGGGGGAGGTTGGAGATCAGGAAGAATTTCTTTGCAGAGAGGGTGCTGAGCCATTGGAATGGGCTGCCCAGGGAAGGGGGGGATTCTCCGTCCCTGGAGGTGTTTAAGGACAGACTGGATGTGGCATCAGTGCCATGGGCTGGGAACCACGGCGGGGTTGGATCAAGGGTTGGACTGGATGATCTCGGAGGTCCCTTCCAACCCAGCTGATTCTGGGATTCTGTGATGTTCAAACCCTTGAAGGAGAAACATTAAACAATTCTTCTGGAATTTGACACAGAGGGGTGGGGAGCTAAAAGTTCTGCTCTAAAGCGTTAAAAAGCTGCATTAAAGCCTCTATGATGTGCATTTAATCCTCATTCCTGTCCCCCACAGACCCCCCGGCCGTGGAGCCGACGTTCCTGGAGATCCGGCAGGGCCAGGGCCGGAGCGTCACCATGAGCTGCCGGGTGCTGAGGGCCTATCCCACCCGGGTGCTGACCTACGAGTGGCGCCTGGGCACGAAGCTGCTGCGCACGGGGCAGTTCGACGTGCAGGACTCCACGGATTACACCGTGGGCAGCCTGGCCAGGGACACCTATGGCCTCTACAACTGCAACATCATCAACGAGGCGGGCGCCGGGCGCTGCAGCTTCCTCGTCACAGGTGGGTGCAGGGCAGGGAGGTGGTGGGGGGGTGGGATCACAGGGTCACAGCATGTGCTGAGTTGGAGGGGACCCACAAGGATCATCCAGTTCGACCCCTGGCCCTGCCCAGGACACCCCAACAATCCCTCCCTGTGCCCCAGAGGATCATCCAAACCCTCCTGGAGCTCTGGCAGCCTTGGGGCCGTGCCCACTGCCCTGGGCAGCCTGGGCAGTGCCAACCACCCTCTGGGAGAAAAACCTTTCCCTGAGATCCAACCTGATCCTCCCTGGTACAGCTCCAGCCCTTCCCTGGGTGCTGTCCCTGGTCCCCCCAGAGCAGAGCTCAGTCCCTGCCCCTCCTCTTCCCTTCCTGAGGGAGTTGGAACTGCAGTGAGGTCTCCCCTCAGTCTCCTCTCCTCCAGCTGAACACACCAAGTGCCCTCAGTGTCCTCACACGGCTTCAAATCCAGGCCCTTCCCCATCTTTGTCTCCCTCCTTTGGATGCTCTCTAAGAGCTTTAAATCTTTCCTATACTGAGTACCTCTACTCCTTTTTCAACTGAAGGATTGCCAGAAAGATCCTTCCAAGTAGAATCCCAGCTTAAGACATCAAGTTTGGACTGTGGTCGGTAACAAAATGGGAGATTTAGCTCGTTTTCGGGGTTTCAGGATAAAAGTTTCTCTGTGCAAGATGTAAACCTCCCTTCTCTGTGGGATCTGTCGGCGTGGTTTTGAGGGAGGCCTGAGAGAGTCATCAGGCAGCAAAACTCCTGTATTTGAAGTTTGTAGTGAGGCTCGAATTCCGTGGAGCTCGGAGAGCAGGGTGGGCAGATCACAGGCTCCGACGGCTTCGAGCTCCTCGAGAACAGAGGAGTTGTTGGAGTTTGTTCCCTGTCTCAAAAAGCAAAAGGAACTTTGTGAAGTCAGAACACGAGATCAGAGTCCTGCACATCCTCCCCCCTCCCCGATCCATAATTAATGGATAATTAATGTGCTGGATGGAGACGAACTTTGGGTGGCTTTTATCTTCGGTGTCTCAGATCTGGATGGCAAAGGGGGGGGTTACACAGGCAAGGCTTGATTTTTCCTCTCAGCTGTTGTGGTTGGAGAACTCAGCTGCCTGACCCTGCAGGACCCTGACCCTGCAGGACCCTGACCCTGCAGCAGATGTTGTGCCCAAGCTGAGGTTCCTCTGGCTCCTGGAATAATAGCAGGTGTAGGTTCCCTGTTTCTCTAGGCTGGTTTTCCTGGTGTTTTTTAGAATCACTGGAGGATAAAAAGCATTTCTGTCAAGTGAAGCATCTCCTCCCAAGTTCTTCTCCTCACCACCTCTGACCTGTGGTGGGTCAGGAACCCCCTGTCCCTGTGCACCAACTGGGAGAGGTATCCAAGCTCCTCAGGGTGGGATGTCTTTGGAGCTCAGCAGGAGCAGCCTCTGATGTCTCCAAGGCCAGGTTGGACAGAGCTTGGAGAAACCTGGTCTAGGAAAAGATGTCCTATGGCAGGGGATTGGAATGAGATGCTTTTGAAGGTCCCTTCCAACCCAAACCAGTCTCTGTGTCAGAGCAACAGCCCTATTCCAGCTCCAAATCCCCCTGGCAGCAGCTTGGAAAGGAATGATGGGAGAAGAAACCAAGAGAAAAGAAATTTAGAGGAGGAATTTCACAGAAGGAAAGGTGTCCTGTGGCTGTTGGGATTTTATTCTTCTTTACCAGTTTGGCTCCAGTCACAATTAGATCTAATTTTGGGGGCAGCTCCTTGAACCCTGTCAGAGGAAAATGGATGTGACTTTTCCAGCTTCACTGCTCCCAGAATCCAGGGATTTGATGGAAGAGCTGTAGGGCACCTCCCAGGGATCCTGCTCTCAGGGTGGACCTTCCATACCCATCTGCCCTGGGAGCAAAGGAAACTACCTGGTTTAGCTCCTCAGGTGGGGCTTTTCCAGCCAAATCCAGTTCAGTAGGAAAAAATCGGAGGCTTTTTTCCTTTTTTTGGACTTGTCTCAATCCCTGGAAGTGGCCAAGGCCAGGTTGGAGCAACCTGGGCTGGTGGGACGTGTCCCTGCCCATGGCAGGGGGTGGAACCTTGAGGATTTGGGGTCCCTTCTGACCCAAATCGCTTTGGGATTTTAGGAATGGCATTTCTTTGGCGGGAATTTTGTGGAGCCAATGGCACAGGGAACACTTCACCCCAAGGCCTGAGGGCTCTGCTGCTTCCAAATGTCACCAAGTATTTGGTACCTGGGGGCATTTTCACGTCCAAACAACTTCTCCACGTCTTTGGAGTTTAATCCCAAAGGTGGCTTGGAAAGAAACCAAAGAAAGTCTTTTTTTTTTTTCTCAAATTCAATTTATTATCCATCACACTTTGGACCCAAAACTGTGGAAACTCAGTGAAAGGCAATTATTTTGAGAAGACTGGGGTGGTGTGAGTGGCTGCTGTGATTTTTTTTAACCAAAGCCACGGGACTGAAAATTACAGCTAAAATGTAATTTATGAGCTTCTCATTTGGAGTTAATCCCACCCTGCTAATTTATCCTGAATTTGTCCTGTGTTAAGGAACCTGGAAGTAGCACTTTGGTGCTTTTTCTCAGGCTTTAAAGGTTAAAGCCAATGTCTTTAGTAAATGTATTCTTTGGAGTGGAACTGCTCTGAGAGCAGCAGCTCCACTCTGGTCCCAGCTCTCATCACAACAGATGAAGTCAAAGCACTGGGGAACCGAAAACGTGGAAGAAAAATGATGAAATGGTTAAAAAAGAGACTCAGATTTCACTGGGAATGAGAACAGAGCAAAGAAATTGGTCAATTCTTCGACAGCTGCGCGGGAGGGAAAAAAAAAAAAAAAAAAGCCAAATAAATAACTCCGAGGAAGGAATAATAAAAAGCCAAATAAATAACTCCGAGGCAGGAACCTGATGAGAGGAGAGAGCTTTTATTTTGGGTGGAATAATGGGTTGTTGAAACCCGTTTTTAGTTGGGTTTATTTCTAGTTTTTTTCCGTGTAGCTGCGCTGGGGCTGCACAGAAACATTGGTATGCTGAGGGAAAGGGTTTTCAGGGCAGTACTAAAAGCAGCCAGGATTGAAAGATTTATGCTGACCCCAGAGCTTGAAAAACCTCTTTTTTTTTTTTTTTTTTTTTTTTTTTTTTACTGTATTTGTATTTTCAGCCAGATTTGAGAAGAACTGAAAGCACAAAAATAAATCACACGTGAAAAAGGGGGTTAATTTCTCCTGGCTGGGCCGACGTGAGGCAGATGTAACCTGCCACTGGCTTAAAAATAAATAAGAAGTGACAAGGCAAATTGTGTTTGTGGGAAAGCAAAGTGGAGTTCATGCTCCTCACAGCTTCACTCCCTCTGTATTTTATTCAGGGGTTGATGGCAGGGATCAGATCCGAGGAGCAGCAAAAAGTACATTTCAGGCAGTGTCTCCTTAAAACCCTGGGAGCAAAATAGATCAAAATCGAGGCAGCAAAAGTCAGGAGGGGCAGTGAGGGCTGGGAAAGCTCCCCGTGGGTGGAGGGAAGGTTTGGGTGCTGGAGAAGGGAAGAACCAGGGAGGTTCTTCCAGAACAACACAGAACCAATATTTCAAAGGGTCCTCCCTCCGTGGTGGGATCAAAACTCAGCTGGTAAAATTAAATTCATCAGCTTCATGCCATTAGCAGCTTGTTTAGGACTAGTGGGTTAGGATTAATTGAAATTAAATTAAATATTATATATAGAGCCCTGCCCAAACAGCACCATCAGCTGTGGACAGACAGATCTGCTGCTGGAACTCCAGGAAGGAATCACACATGGATATGTGGATCCAGCCCTGATTAAACAGCTGCAAGAATTTAATGCTCATGAAACAAAATATTGTCTCTCTTACCTAAGAAAAAGACCTCTTTGGGCACAACTTTGGTCAGAAATCAGCCCCAGAACAGCAAAGAACCAGGGAGGTTCTTCCAGAACAACACAGAACTAATATTACAAAGGGTCTTCGCTCTGTGGTGGGATCAAAACTCAGCTGGTAAAATTAAATTCATCAACTGAAAGCCATTAGGAGCTTGTTTAGGATTAGTGGGTTAGGATTAATTGAAATTAAATAAATCAATTTAAATATTATATATAGAGCCCTGCCCAAACAGCACCATCAACTATGGACAGACAGATCTGCTGCTGGAACTCCAGGAAGGAATCACAAATGGATATGTGGATCCAGCCCTGATTAAACAGCTGCAAGAATTTAATGCTCATGAAACAAAATATTGTCTCTCTTACCTAAAAAAAGACCTCTTTGGGCACAACTTTGGTGAGAAATTCAGCCCCAGGCAGCCCCAGAACAGCAAAGAACCAGAGAGGTTCTTCCTCCTCGGAGGTTCCTCCAGGATGGACCTGAGCCCTCCCTGCTTCTGGGAAGACCTTTTTCCTGGTGACTTCACCTTCCTCAAGGCAGGGAAGTTTGTTTTCCAGGTTCCCAGTGTGGCAAAGGTGGATGGAGTGAGTGGAGTGAGCCCTGTGTTGGTGCCAGGAGGGCTGGAGCCACGGCAGGGCCGGGGGAACGTCGGCGACGAGCGACGGGACGAGGGCAAACGGCCTCGAGTCGCTCCAGGAGAGGTTTGGGTTGGATATCAGGGGAAAATTCCTCATGGAAAGGGTTGTCAAGCGTTGGAACAGGCTGCCCAGGGAGGTAGTGGAGTCAGAATCCCTGGAATTGTCCAGAACATGTGTGGGTGTGGCACTTGAGGCCGTGGTTTGGTGGTGCTGGACGATGGTTGGACTTGAGGATCCCGAAGGTCTTTTCCAACCCCAACAATTCCAGGATTCTCTGTGTGCCTGAGGGGCCATTTAGGATTAAGATTCCCCAGAACTGAGGTTACTTGACAATATTTATCTTCCTGATAATGTTTATCTTCAGTAGCTTATGACTCAGGCAAGTTTGAACCACTTGCACTGAAATTTACTGTTCTTGGACTGAATTTCTCACCAAAGTTGTGCCCAAAGAGGGGTTTTTTTTGGGTGAGAGAGACAATATTTTGTTTCATGAGCATTAAATTCTTGCAGCTGTTTAATCAGGGCTGGATCCACATATCCATTTGTGATTCCTTCCTGGAGTTCCAGCAGCAGATCTGTCTGTCCATAGTTGATGGTGCTGTTTGGGCAGAGCTATATATAATATTTAAATTGATTTATTTAATTTCAATTAATCCTAACCCACTAGCCCTAAACAAGCTTCTAATGGCATTGAGTTGATGGAATAAATTTTACCAGCTGAGTTTTGATCCCACCACGGAGCAAAGACCCTTTGGAATATTGGTTCTGTGTTGTTCTGGTTTTTGTGGAATATTTTC